TTTTTTTTTTTTTTTTTTTTTTTTTACTTGTATCAAGCTTGAAATGTGAAATTTCTATGCCATGATCTTGCATCTGTTATGTTGTCAAATACATTTATGAACAATATTTCCTAGTGCCAAGTACATAGAACCCACGTGGTGCCATAAGTTAAAACAGAATCGTTAAAGAGGCTTCAGGTAAACAAAGGTAAAGACTATTTGTACTACATTTGAACTTGCAGTAAAGATATCTTAAACTCATATTCCACAAACAAAATGACAAATCTAACTTCAATATTTTGTCCCATGACATACTAAGTTGGGTGCAACTTTTTTCTATTTTTCTTTCGAAGTACACATAACCGGTTGTTGTGGTTTTTGGCACAAACCGACATTGAAAGAAACAATTGTTCAATTTTGGTTGGTTGGATATCAGTAATTTTTTAAGACTTGTATAAACTGACCATTCCCCAATTCAATTGATCAATTTTGGTCAAAACTGATGCTGAGAGTGACGGAGGTCGAGAGGGAAACTGAGGGTGACAGAGTAAGAGAGATGAGAAGAAGAATGGAGAGGGTTACAAAGCCAAAAAAACGAAGAGAGATGCAAAAGGACGAGCTTGAGGGGAGAGTCAAAAATGAAAGAGGAGAAAATAAGAGGAAGGATTAGAGAGAAATGAAATTCAAAGATGAGAAAGGGAGAGGTGTAGCTATAGCTTATTAGGCCAAAAAAACACAAACGCTTTGAGTAACATGTTCATGACCAACATGAGTCAGATACTCCACCACTTGTTATCACAATGAACATGTGTTGGACACTAGATATGTACAAGTTTTATGAGTCCAAACCTTGTTAGGTTAGTATTAAATACTTATCAAGCATATTAAATATTTAAAATTGTGGCAATGTGAACAAAAATACAAGACCGAGAGGGAAGATTTATGCCACATGGGGTCTGAGACAAGGAGATCCACTATCCCCTTTTCTTTTCATCATGTACTACTGACAAAAGCAGAATGACAAATAAAAAGTTTTCAGATTGGTAGTGAAGGCTTAAGCATAACCCACCTCCAGTTTTCAGATTGGAAGAAACATGATCGAGATGGTTAAAACCTTTGAAAGATTCTCTTGACAAAATATCAATATCCAAAAAACAGAGGCCATGGGCATCAATATTAGAACAGAGATGAGTGAAGAATTTGCTAGCATATACGGGTGTAAAAAGGGAGAATGACCAAATATGTACCTAGGACTACCTCTAAAAGGAAACCACAAATCTTTTTCCTTCTAAAAGATTATTATTGAAAAAATAGAAAGAAGATTGTCAACCTGGTCATCATGTTATACTTCAAAAGGTGAAAGACTCAACCTAATACAATCCACATTATCCAACCTCTCCACTTACTACATGTCTATTTGAAATGCCACAAAAAGTGGTAGCGGATATAGAAAGATAATTTAGAAACTACTTGTGGAAAGATTACTCACACCTTGTTCGATGGAATATTATAAACCTCCCAACATAAAAGAGAGGCCTCAATCTTCTCTCGATAAAGAAGAACAAAGCTCTCCTTGCCAAATGGATATAGAGGTATCATCACAAAGAAAACGCCTTGGGGAGAAATCTTATAAAGACCAAATATACTCCTATATCAAACAAAAATCAACCCCCTCCATCTTCTAAAAAGGCCTTGGAAGTACATAATGAAACATCAAAAACCTCACCACCAACCGAACTTGCCATAGGGTGAGTGATGGAGGAAGCACATCATTTTAAGACCAACTCATGGATTGAAAACACCATGCTAGCCTTGAGGTATCCACTTTTGTACCGGCTCTTTCATAGCAAAAAAGTCACGATCAAAGAAACGTGAAATGTTGGTACATCACATTTTCTCCAAATTAGTGTTCATTATACAACAAAGGAAACGAATCACAAAGACACTTATTCATGCAATGCACATATGCTCATAATTTTTGGACAACAATTCTCAATATATTCGGATGGCATCTCACATTTCCTAGGGAGGTAAAGGATCTATTGGATATGACCTTAACGTACCACCCTTTCAAGAATGCAAAAGTCCTCCTATGGAAAACTTCATCATGGCTTTCTTTTGGAATATGTGGAAAGAAAGAAATCAAAGAATATTTGCAAAAAAGACACAGACTTGTACAAAACTTTTCGACAATGTTGTTTACCAAGTTATATCTTGGTGCAAACTGTCTAATATTTTTACTTCCTATAGTTATACCTTCCTCGTTGCAAATTGGGAAGGTCTTTTGTAAACACCATGGATATTAATCTCTTTTGTAAATTTCGATCATCAATGAAATTGTTTCTTACAAAAATTTAAAAAAAAATGATAGTTTGAAAGCACGTATAATTGATAGATGTGTCCTTGTCAGGTCCTATGTCCTAGATTTTTATTTTTATTGTATTAAATGTCATATTTTTTTGTTTCATCTTTTTATCAATGCTTCTAGTGAGTAAGTTGAATCATTTATAACAAAAAAATAATAAATAAATTATTGTAGTAGAGTGCAACTTCCAAAAGAGCCAGCCATTGGTTTGAAAACTCACCTGGTTAAAACTGCAATAATTTGCAAAAAGTTTAATTTTTTTTCCCTTTAATTTATTTTAGGACTCAAAAGACACCATTGCACAACCTACAGAAGAGATCTTAGTTCAAGAAAGGTCATTTATTAGACAAGTAGCCTATTTTCTCCGTGAATACTCGTTATCCATAGCAGATCTTTGACATTCTTGAAGGGGTGATACTTTAAGACCATTTCCAATAACTTCTATACCTCTTTAGGGAAAGTGAGGCGTCATCCAAAGGTATTGAGGATCTTTGTCTATAAACTATTAGCATATGTACACGACCTAAATAGGTAGTTTTGTGATTCATTGTCTTTCTTGCTTTAAGAGCACCAATTTGAAAATAGAGTCATGTCAGGCATTCTTTACGGTAGGTTTTCACTTGTGCTAATAGCTTTATGCACCATTTCCAACAAGAAAAACTTCACCTTTTTAGGGTGATTTTCTTTCCATATGGTCTTTGCTTTGCTGGTGTGGAAAATGTCCCGTCAACACTAGGAAGTAATTTTAATAAGTACTTCTTGAGACAACACAGGGCAAGGTTAAGGCTTAATTCGGCCCATTCCATAGCTGGTCTTTGCTTTGCTGGTGTGGAAAATGTCCCGTCAACACTAGGAAGTAATTTTAATAAGTACTTCTTGAGACAACACAGGGCAAGGTTAAGGCTTAATTCGGCCCATTCCATAGCTTCGTTATCCTTTAGGTTCCTACTGAGCTGCAGGTCCCAAAATTTGTCCATGCTTCTTTAATTTTAGTCGTCTTGCAATGGGAGTGTCTATACAAAAGAGGGTACCGCAAAGCGCCATAGCTTCGTTATCCTTCAGGTTCCTACTAAGCTGCAGGTCCAAAAATTTGTCCATGCTTCTTTAATTTTAGTCGTCTTGCAATGGGAGCGTCTATACAAAAGAGGGTACCGCAAAGCTATCGCGGTGTTGTCAATCCAATGGTCAGTCCAAAAATATGTGTTTCCTCCATCACCCACCCTCCCTATGGAGAATGCAATTGGTGATAAGGTTTTGATGCTTTTTTTACATACTTCCATGGCCCTTTTGTAAAAGGTCGAAGACTGATTTGTACATGATGTAAGAGCATTTTTAACCTTTATAAGATTCCACCACAAGGCAGTACTTCCATAATAATATCTCCATATTCATTTTTCGAGGAGGGCTCTGGTCTTCTCTTTCATTGAATATAGGCCAATACCTCCCTTGTCTAACAGGAGGTTTATGCTATTCCATCGAACAAGATGTGGGTCATCTTTCCATAGATAGTTTCTGAATAATCTTTCTATTTACATAGCCACTTTGTGGCATTCTGAATAGAGTCATGTCATAAATAGGTAGGTTGGACAATGTGGCTTGTATTAGGATGATCCTTCCACCTTTGGAAGTGGAGTATGATGACCATGTTGATTATCTTCTTTCTATTTTTTCATTAGTGGTCTTCTAGAAGGAGAAGGATTTGGGGTTTCCATTTAGGGGCAGCCCCATGTAGATATTCGGTCATTCACCCTTATTACAACTATATATGTTAGCGAAGTCGTAGATATCCTCTATGTTAACATTGATGCCTATGATCTCTGTTTTTTTTAGAGGTTGATGTTTTTCTTTAGAATCTTCTAAAGGTTGCATCGTAGAAAAACATGTTTTTTTTTTTTTGTGGATGAGACATCTAACCATTTGGAGAAGAGAATTATGTCATCCGCTGCAAATGGTTGATGCTTAAGTCTTTGTTACCGATATGGAGGTTCTTTATCTCCCCTTCGTAATCTACCTTGTATCAAATGAAAGGAAATTGCTGTTTAAGGTTCAATTGTTCTTTTCCAACCATAAGCCTCAATAAAAGCTCTAGTCAAGAGAACCCATGGATCTTTCTCTTTCTTGAAAGGACGGCCCACCATGATGCATGAAGGAGAAAGCCAACATTTGTATCTAACAAGGTTGGATGGAAGCAAGCATCATGTATTAAAACCTGCTAGCATACTCACACACA